CTTATTCTAAAAGGGATTAAATAAAACTATTTCCTCAGCACTCTACACACAATACGTCATGACAAAGCGAAAAGTTAAAAAATTTTTTTTTGCAAATCTATTAAAAATAAAAACCAGAAATACCTTATTTTCATAAGTATTCAGACCCTTTGCTATGAGACTTGAAATTGAGCTCCGGTGCATACTGTTTCCGTTAATCATCCTTGAGATGTTTCTACAACTTGATTGGAGTCCACCTGTGGGAAATTCAATTGATTGGGCTCCTGAGTGGCGCAGCGGTCTAAGGCACTGCGTCTCAGTGCTTGAGGCATCACTACAGACCCTGGTTCGATTCCAGGCTGTATCACAATGAGTCCCATAATTGGCCCAGCGTCGTCCGGGTTTGGCCGGTGTAGGCCGTCATTGAAAATAAGAATTTGTTCTTAACTGTCTTGCCTAGTTAAATAAAGGTAAAAATAAAAAATAGGTTCTTGGTCACCTCCCTGACCAAGTCCCTTCTCCCCCGATTGCTCAGTTTGGCCAGGCGGCAAGCTCTAGGAACAGGTGTGTGCCTTTCCAAATCATGTCCAGTCAATAGAATTTACCACAGGTGGAGTCCAATCATCTTGTTATAAAAATAGCTTTTCATAGCTTTTTTTTTCATTCGAGTAGAGTACTCTGAAAAAAATTATGCGAGTACTCTGTCAAAAAAGGTCATATGCCCATCCCTATATCAAATACATCAAACACTTGGGTTCCATTCCATTCGCTCCTTTCCAGCCATTATTATGAGCCGTCCTCCCCTCAGCAGCCTACACTGACACACACAGATTCAGACATAGCCACCACTATGAAAGTTAAGCAGGTGCCATCATTTTATCCCAACGAAGACATACTGTGCCTTGCAAAAGTATTCATGCAAAGCTCCACAGCGGAGATTGGAGTATTTGTCCATAGGACCACTTTAAGCCGTACACTCCACAGAGCTGGGCTTTACGGAAGAGAGGCCATTAAAAAGCCATTGCTTAAAGAAAAAAATAAGCGAACACGTTTGGTGTTCGCCAAAAGCCATGTGGGAGATTCCCCAAACATATGGAAGAAGGTACTCTGGTCAGATGAGACTACAATTGAGCTTTTTGGGCATCAAGGAAAACGCTATGTCTGGCGCAAACCCAACACCTCTCATCACCCCGAGAACACCATCCCCACAGTGAAGCATGGTGGTGGCAGCGTCATGCTGTGGGGATGTTTTTCATCTGCAGGGACTGGGAAACTGGTCAAAATTGAAGGAATGATGGATGGCGCTAAATACAGGGAAATTCTTGAGGGAAACCTGTTTCAGTCTTCCAGAGAATGACCCTAAGCATACTGCTAAAGCAACACTTGAGTGGTTTAAGGGGAAACATTTAAATGTCTTGGAATGGCCTAGTCAAAGCCCAGACCTCAAATCTGTGGTATGACTTAAAGATTGCTGTACACCAGCGGAACCCATCCAACTTGAAGGAACTGGAGCAGTTTTGCCTTGAAGAATGGGCAAAAATCCCAGTGGCTAGATGTGCCAACTTTATAGAGACATACCCCAAGAGACTTGCAGCTGTAATTGCTGCAAAGGGTGGCTCTACATAGTATTGACTTTGTGGGGGTGAATAGTTATGCACACTCAAGTCCTTTTCTTTTTTTTAAATAATTATTTCTTGTTTGTTTCACAATTTTTTTTATTTTGCATCTTCAAAGTGGTAGGCATGTTGTGTAAATCAAATGATACAACCCCCCCAAAAATCCAATATAATTCCAGGTTGTAAGGCAACAAAATAGGAAAAATGTATATATTGTATAGCTACATAAACTGTTTTGGGGGGAGCACCAACACTAACTACACTATTCATATAATTACATTAATTTACTCACAATATCCTTTTGAACCTCCTTATCTTTTCTCTTTTATCTCCAGCCACCCAAGAGACCTAGGCGTAAAGCTGCATCCCAGGCCAGCCCAAGTCCCAGCACCACCTCCACCCCTCCAGCCCGTTCCCCTCAGCCACCACAGTCTTCCCTGGGGACAACCAGGCAGCTTGGCTCCCCCAGGCGAGAGAGAGAGAGGAGGGGGAACCAGGGCATGAGAGCCGGGGATATGTATGAGGCTGTGAGGTCTGGAAAGAGTGCCATGGTGGTGAGAGAGGGAGTGACGGATTGGGGTGGGGGGAGAAAAAGAGAGAATGGACGGAGGGAGGGATGAGTAATGACAGGGAAATGAGGCCTATACAGCCCACAATGGGGGTGATTATCATGCGCTGTCAGTAGCTGACAGATCTTACCCTACTAAGGCCCTTTGATGTAGAGAGGTAGGAGAGCTGCCATTGGGCCATGTAGTCAATGATTGACAGCTCATGGTTGTTCCACCCACTGTTGGGCTCTGAAGCTCCAGTTCCCCAGTCTCCTGAGGGTTAGGGAGTAAAAGGCTGTTGAAAAGAGAGTTCCCTGTTATATAGTAGCAGATTGTTTTCAGCCTTCAGCACAGTCACATAGATGGATAAGCTTATTCGACTCAATGAGTACAAATTGTATCCTAGTAGTACTATAGAATAGTAGCTCTGCTCTGGGGCTGACCCCAATTAGTCGACTAGTCGATTGTTTGGTCATTAGGTTGTTGGTTGACCGAGATTGTTTTAGTCGAGCAGAAAAAATATATATATATATTTGCGCCCATCTCAGTGAACTAATTCATTGCCTAGACTAAAAGCCAATTTATGCTTGATCCGAAAATGTGGTCGGATTGCAACGCAATTGCGGAGCCTCCAGAGGCATGCAGAGGCCAAATCGAGCTCTGTACCGCATTGCCATGCGCCTTCCAAATTTTGTAACAATGCGATGGGCTCTGTATAACTCCGCATTGACATGATTGGTTGACGGTAGGTGGGGGTGGTACATCCTGTAGAAAACACAAACTCACTTCCTTGACAACAGCTCTCTACGAAGCGCAAGAACTATGAATGCCCTGACTTCTGCTGAGGCCATATCAGCGTAAATGCTGCATGGCCAATGCAGACGTCGGACTGACCATCCGCCCAGATGCACAATGCACTTCTCTCTACAGAATGTGCTCTCTCCCGCCAATTTGTGCACATTCATTGTTTCATAACTTCATTGTGTGAATTGTTTGCGTTTTGATTTTTAGTGTATATCAATTCCCCATTACATCACCAGTAGTACATTTACCATTAATTCCTATAATTTCTAATCTACAATATTTGTTACTTTGGTTACGGTAATTTCTGTTAATGCATTCAATATTATTATTCCAGTCTTCCCGTAATCATTGTCGGAGTGGACACATTGTTTGCAGAGTGCACACCTGTGAGAGAGAAGTTTTGGTTTATTTCATTCCATTTACGAGTTTTGTCAATTTAGTCATTGTCTTTTGTTTGGAGCGCTCCTGTCAATGTTAAGTTAGGACGCGCACACATAGAAGTACTACGTGGCCTGCGCGCAAATGTAGGCATATAAATGTGCCCATTTGAGGATCTGATAGTATTTCTGATTGGCTTAACACACCACCACTAATGACCTGTGGAGCTTCTCAAAGTAATGTTTTCTTCACCTCAAACAGCAAGCAAACAATGTCTGTTTTTACATCCATTGAGAATTACAATAGTTCCTCAATGTATTAGAAAAATCTTTCCAGCTCTCTCCTTTTCAATAACCGCACAGTGTGAAATGGAAAAATGTCATGCTCTGATCCAGTGGAAACGTCATAAAATAGGCCTACCTGATTACTTCTTATCAGTGCTTGACTTGGACTGAAATAGGTTCCGGTATTCATTTTGGGTGCTGGTACTGTTTATATTTAGGTGCAGGAGCTCCACAATACTTTTGAGCTAATATTCTATAAGAGAACAGGAGCTCAAGCAGTAGAACATTTGAGGTGCCGGTACTCCGCTCCGTTGAGCTCCTGCCCAAGTGAAGCACTGCTTCTTATCCCTTGCGCAAATAGCCTACAGCCGTGTCTGTCCCGAACTCACTGGCACTGGAAACTCTGAGCTGCCAGAATATTTTATACAATGTTGCAAGTTCGCTAGCGCAAGCTTCAGGCCGGACCCAAGTTATTAGTTGATACAATGTTTTAAGTTCGTTGAAGACAGGCCATGTGTATGATTTATAGGATATTTACTTTTATAGGATATTTTATTTTCTACCTGCAGGCTGCAATGTTTTTATTTGTTGGCTTTATGTAGACTATTTGTACATAGTTGGCAATGGCAATATAAGTTACTTTTTAGGTTTGTATCATTTTCATTTAGATTTGGATAGAATTTTGATTAACCACATGACAATGATTTTGAGATATTAATACTTTATTATAAATTAAAGGAACCTGTTTCATGAAAATGTGCATATGAAAACCATAACTGGCACGCAGATCAGTAGAAATTGTAAGATAAATTGGCGTTCCACATGAGAAAGGATGCCAAGTTCTCGTGTAGCCTATTACCGGCAACTTCAGGAGAGTAATGGCAGAATCTGCGAAAGCCAGCAGGAGCGGGAGGAGAATAGTTAGGTCAGGTTAAGGTTTTTTTCTTCTGGTTATCTAGATCTCTGACAACCTCTTGAGGCATTTTTCTTATTTCATCAAACTGTAAGCTCAATGCATATAGTTGATTTTTTTTTTTATACACGTTTAAAAAGTTTGACCAATCGATTGGTCGAAAGAACAGACGACTTTCGGTCGACCAAGATTTTTTTGGGTCGTGGACAGACCTCTGCTCATACTCTGCCATCCTAGTGAGTTGGAGAGACGGGGCGGGAGAAGATGACAGATAGGTAATACGGTTAGAGGTTAAAGGGGAAGGGGATGACAGTGTATATACCCATTTCTGTTTAGGGAATGATAATTTAAAAAAGAGACTGGAGGAGGGCGTAAACTGGCAAGAAAGGAGTAACTGTAATTGCCACATAATGATGTCAGTTTTGACCTTGTACGTTGCTCTCCCCTCATTGGCTGTGGTCTCCCTGTCAATCTCCAGGCAGTGGTGGACGAGTGGCTAGACAGCTACAAGCAGGACCGGGAGGCGGGACTACTGGAGCTCATCAACTTCGTCGTGCAGTGCTGTGGCTGCAAAGGTCAGGGGTCGCCAGGGTGTCTGAAAGGTTGAGAGGGCAGGGAGTGATTGGGGTCAGGGGTCACTGGATGATCTTTTAACCTGATCCCCAGAATAGCCATTGATTAGCACTCTGTCTATTGATTTCTGGGCCGGCTAACAATGCAAGGACCAGCGTCATGCGAGCAGTCATTTCAGTGTATACTTACACTGGTCTATGGATGGATGAAAGACTTTGATGAAGAAAGTTATGGGGGATGGAGGTTTAAAACACATATCATGTACTTAGCCCTGGGTTTCACATCAAATTTTTTTGTTCATTAACAAATATTAGTTTTGTGTAAGCATTTCATGTTTAGGGAAAATGAACTGCTTGTATGCTAGGGCCAGGTGGTGTCAGCTTTGATCCTCCTCACCAGGGTTGTTTCTTAATGTATAAGTCCAGGTAGTCCCTTCCTGTTTTGGACCGTTTTCGTCCTTTTCATGGCTAATGAACACGACCCTCCTCCTCAGGTGTGGTGAGCAGAGAGATGTTTGACGGCATGCAGAACGCTGAGATCATCAGCACACTGACCAAAGAGTTCAACGAGGTGAGAGAGCAGGGACGCCTTTTAGAACCAAGTCAGAGTTGAACTTTAGAGTTTTTTAAATTGTGTTTAACACTTCTCTCTTCGTGACTCATGTAAAGTGCCCTGGGTTTGAGAAAAGCTTTATATGAATGGTGATATCATTATTATTTAGTTGGAACAATGTTATACAATTATATTTCCTATTGCTTCTGTAGAACCTCTACAGCTAACATACACAACATTGAGGCCAAAATTTAAGGAGATATTTTTAGCCCTCATATCTCCTGTTCTCCTCCCCCACACAGGACTCTGTGAACTACCCCCTGTGCTCCCCGGGCCCCCAGTGGCGTAAGTTCCGGGCTGGCGTGTGTGAGTTTGTGCAGGTGCTTGTGCGCTCCTGCCAGAACAGCCTTCTGTACGATGAGTACCTCTTCTCCGCCCTGCTGGCCCTGCTCACCGGCCTGTCTGACTCCCAGGTCAGGGCCTTCAGACACACCAGCACCCTCATCGGTGAGACACGGGACACCCACCGCATAATGACCACAGTAGTGTTTTTGTTGAGTCCCAGCACACACTCATTGGTTCAATGTATTTACCAGCGAGGTGTGCTCTGTCTGTCTGTCTGACTGTCTGTCTGTGTGCATGTCTGTCTGTATGTGTGCATGTCTGTCTGTATGTCTGTCTGTATGTGTGCATCAGTGTTTCCTCTGGAAAAATTTGAAGCAGTGGGCGGAAAAGGAGTGGGGGGGAAAAGGTTGCGGAGTGGGGTTGAAGGGGGAGGGTCCCACCTATAATTTTTATGTAGAAGGACCGAGGAGCTCAGTTCTGGTGACATTCTACTCCAAAATTAATTAAAATAAGTATTCTGACACCATCTAAAACAGAATTTCCACCTCCAGAAATTAGCCCAATAACACATTGGTAAAATTATTTGTTAAAATTATTTTAACATTTTGGGCCATGTACAGTATATAGCTTATGCATTGTCCATATTATCAGGTATGCTATTAGCAATAAACAATATCACCTTTAGCCCAACTGATGCAGCAAAGTGCAAATAAATAGGCTGAAGCATGGGGTTGCCTATTTACCCTATTGGGCTAATCATTAGCCAGATTTCAAATGTGATCTTTTAACTAGTTATTATCATATTGATGCATTTTATGTCCCAAAAAAACGTGCATAAACACTGCATATAATGTAGGCCTACCTGTTAGGGTAACTTGGGGTAACTCGCCACCCTTGGTAAAATGCCCCATGCCTGTACTTCTCACAGAAACCACTTCATGTCACAATTTTTCCCCCAACGCTTTCCCTGGTTTCCACTACTCTTCCTCAACAAAAAATATTATCTGTCTCATCACAATTTTAAGTCATTCCAAATAAATGATTTTGAGGTAGAGAAGCGTTGTACCCCAAGTCACCCTACAATTGACCAGTGTTACATTTAGCCCCACTCTCCCCTATGCACTTGCTGCCAATTGCTGAGTGGTAACATGCTTAACCATGCTTCTGCTAAAAACCCTCGGTTTAAAATGGCGCAGTTCGCGCATATTTAGGAGTTGAGAAATAAATAAAGCAGGAATGGAAAGCTGGGATCTGCTTCTTTTTAACAAATGCCATTAAAACTGCTGTTTTCACGATTGCAAGAATTGTTGTGAATTGACTGCTTGTCAGAATGCATGTTTCCCTCCCTATGGTACTTATAATATGAATGCGCCACGAGAGGAATATTTATCTAGCATAGAACACAACAACAAGCCGACTAGGTAAATATATAAACTATTCTACTATGGGTTTGTTAGATTTTTCTATTCATTACTTGTTTTGTTTGCAGAGGAAAAGTACATGTGGAATGCATCTTCAAAATGCGCCTCAGCAGAAATATTTTTTATGTTCCATATTTTATTGGTTGTGTGGCAGCAATGATTTTGCCATGGCGCAGCAACACAGGAAAATGAGTGCAGCAGAAACACTGGTGTGCATGTCTGTCTGTCTGTGTGCATGTCTGTCTGTGTGCATGTCTGTCTGTCTGTATGTCTGTCTGTGTGTCTGTCTGTCTGTGTGCATAACCATATTTTGGGGTATATGTCTGGCCCTGTGTGTCCATCCATTTGTGGAACTGTGTGTCCCTTCTCCCTAGCGATGAAGCTGATGACTGGTATAGTGGAGGTAGCAGTGATGGTGTTTGCCCAGATGAAGACCACCCAGAGACGGTACGACATGGAGAAGAGCAAGAGAGCCGAACACAGAGCCTCAGAGAGGCTGGAGGAACTACAGGCCACCATCAGCGAGGTAACACACACACACACACACCCTGATTCGGCTCATCTTCGGCACATCCCTACAGATTCCATTCAGTCTCACTTCTGTGTGTGCGAGCGTTCATTCGTCTCTCTCTGTGTGTGTGTGTAGCTGCGGGAGCACCAGGAGGAGCTGTCCTCCATGATGAATGCTACGTTCCGGGGTGTGTTTGTGCACCGCTACCGGGACCGCGTGGCTGAGATCAGGGCCGTGTGTATCGAGGAGATGGGCGTGTGGCTCCGAGAAAACCCCAGAGACTTCCTCAACGACGGATACCTCAAGTACCTGGGCTGGACCCTGCACGACAAGGTGGGCAGGCAGACAGACAGATGCCCAACTAGTGTTGTCACGATAGCAACATTTTACTAACGATACAATAACATGCCAAGTATCATGATACCGAGTAGTATCGCGATACCACAGTGGAAAAAAACCAGTGGCCTAGCATCCTGTTCACCCTGTCCCCCAGACGCTTGTTCCCGTTTTCTAAATGTTATGCGCACCACAAACCTGTGACTGATATTCACACTGCTACACAATACAACACATGTTGAATTTAACTTCACACTGTTCACTGTATAATATAATATTGCATAGAATGGCTGATTTGCTGATATTTGCAAAGGCCTAGCTGTGATTTGGTTGGAGGAATGGGAGGAAGGAATATACATGCATAATGATCTGCATGTCATTGTGGCAGTAAGGGAAAACACTGCATGAAACCTCTACACTTCAGTTAACTCACACACACTCTCCCTCCCTCACGCACGCACTCTCCCTCCCTCACTCAAGCACTCTCCCTCCCTCACACCACTCTCCCTTCCTCACACCACTCTCCCTTCCTCACACCACTCTCCCTCCCTCACGCACACTCCCTCCTTCCCTCACGCACACTTCCTCCTTCCCTCACGCACTCTCCCTCCCTCACGCACTCTCCCTCCCTCCCGCACTCTCCCTCCCTCCCGCACTCTCCCTCCCTCCCGCACTCTCCTCCCTCACACCACTCTCCCTCCCTCACACCACTCTCCTTCCCTCACAGTCTGTCTCTCTCATAAACACACACAACACTCTCTCCCAACAAACATACACACACTGCAAACAGAATGTAAGTAGCACCAGAAAGAGAGGGATTTTTTATATCGTTAGCCCTATATGAATATATTTAGCCCTATATGACTATATTTAGCCCTATATGACTATAGTTAGCCTTATATGACTATAGTTAGGCCAATATGACTATAGCTAGCCCTAAATGACTATAGTTAGCCTTATATGACTATAGTTAGCCTTATATGACTATAGTTAGCCCTATATGACTATATTTAGCCCTATATGACTATATTTAGCCCTATATGACTATAGTTAGCCTTATATGACTATAGCTAGCCCTATATGACTATAGCTAGCCCTATATGACTATAGTTAGCTTTATATAACTATAGTTAGCCCTATATGACTATAGTTAGCCCTATATTGGGCTCCCGAGTGGCGCAGCGGTCTAAGGCACTGCATCTCAGTGCTTGAGGCGTCCCTACAGACCCCCTGGTTTGATTCCAGGCTGTATCACAACCGGCCGTGATTGGGAGTCCCATAGGGCGGCGCACAATTGGCCCAGCGTCATCTGGGTTTGGCCGGTGTAGGCCGTCATTGTAAATAAGAATTTGTTCTTAACTGACTTGCCTATTTAAATAAAGGATAAATAAAATAAAAATATGACTATAGTTAGCCTTATATGACTATAGTTAGCCCTATATGAGTATAGCTAGCCTTATATGACTATAGTTAGCCCTATATAATAATAAATAATGACTATCGTTAATAATGACTATAGTTAGCCTTATATGACTAAAGTTAGCCTTCAATGACTATAGTTAGCCCTATATGGCTATATTTAGCCCTATACAGTGGGGAAAAAAAGTATTTAGTCAGCCACCAATTGTGCAAGTTCTCCCACTTAAAAAGATGAGAGAGGCCTGTAATTTTCATCATATGTACACGTCAACTATGACAGACAAAATGAGGGAAATAAATCCAGAAAATCACATTGTAGGATTTTTAATGAATTTATTTGCAAGTTATGGTGGAAAATAAGTATTTGGTCAATAACAAAAGTTTCTCAATACTTTGTTATATACCCTTTGTTGGCAATGACACAGGTCAAACGTTTTCTGTAAGTCTTCACAAGGTTTTCACACACTGTTGCTGGTATTTTGGCCCATTCCTCCATGCAGATCTCCTCTAGAGCAGTGATGTTTTGGGGCTGTCGCTGGGCAACACAGACTTTCAACTCCCTCCAAAGATTTTCTATGGGGTTGAGATCTGGAGACTGGCTAGGCCACTCCAGGACCTTGAAATGCTTCTTACGAAGCCACTCCTTCGTTGCCCGGGCGGTGTGTTTGGGATCATTGTCATGCTGAAAGACCCAGCCACGTTTCATCTTCAATGCCCTTGCTGATGGAAGGAGGTTTTCACTAAAAATCTCACGATACATGGACCCATTCATTCTTCCTTTACACGGATCAGTCGTCCTGGTCCCTTTGCAGAAAAAAAGCCCCAAAGCATGATGTTTCCACCCCCATGCTTCACAGTAGGTGTTTATTTATTTATTTATTTAACCTTTATTTAACCAGGAAGGGCTCATTGAGATTTAAAATCTCTTTTTCAAGAGCGTCCTGGCCAAGATAGGCAGCACCAAGTCATTACAAAACATTACAGACAGACAACATGAAAAACTACAAGTAATCTAGTAAAAACCATTCATGAATTCACAAGAGTATAACAATATAAAAAACAGCAAATTAAAGACATTGACAGGTCAGGGAATCAGCCTCAAAATCCTTCATCAGAGATTTAAAAACACCAATCGGGACAAGTTCTTCCAGTTTAAAATTATTTTGTAAGGTGTTCCAAAACGATGGCGCAGAGTACATAAAAGACCTTTTACCAAATTCAGTTCGGACATTTGGAACAGTTAGCAGGATAAAGTCCAGTGAACGAAGAGAGTACCCACCACATTTCTGAACAATAAAAATGCCCAAATAAAAAGGTAGTAAACCCAAAATGGCTTTGTAAATAAAAGTATACCAGTGACTGAGCCTACGAGTGACTAGAGAAGGCCAGCCAACCCTGGTATACAAAGTACAGTGGTGCGTAAGGGTTTTGCAGTTTAAAATAAATCTCAAAGTACCATGATAAAGAGTGTCAATTGATCTCAAACACTGAGCGGAAGCATTCATATATAAAA